AGCTGCCGCACATCGATGTTGTACCTGCCCCCGACTCCCTTGTCAAGATCGGATCTTGACTCTTGACTTTATTTGCATTTATTGGGTTGGTTCTAGAAATCCTGTGCTTCAACGCGCAAGGACAATAAACTGTGGTTTGCTTCTCCATCGAAGACCAACAGAGCTGGATTTAGTTTAAGGTTCGAGACATCCTCAGCTTCCTGTGCCCTTCACCTGCAATGACCGATAACTCCCGTGCCTTTGCAAGTCTGCGTCGCTCACGACCAGAACAAGCCGTTCGTCAGCCTCTTGGGTTCCAATCTCCTTGATGGCACGCATGGTTGCCTGACAAATTCAGTGGTGGGTGTCTCCTTCCGAATTAAACCTGCGAGGTCAAACAACAACACCACCTATCAATTTACGCCACCCAATCGTTCGAGCACCTGACCTCCAAGGTATGGTCCCCAGGGTAGCAGAACTGAGCATGTGCCTCGGCATAGCAAGCTGTTGCGTCGCTCATGAACGCAAGGACAAATAAAATGCAAGCTCAAGAATGCACCCTGGCTAAACAAGCCAAGCACCTCCATGGTTTTTGCGATTTCCAAGCGGTCCTTGTCCTCAGCTAAATATAAACCCACCAATTTGACAGGCTTACAATGACATACAATGACCAAGTCCAATCATTTTGGAGGGAAGAATACTGCGAGGAGCCGTCAGAGGCGGCTTTGCCCATTCCACCAATCGCTCTTCGGGCCCAGTACCACTATGGCCGACCATGCGATACTGATACTTCTCCTGGAAGCTGAAGACGACCAAAACGTTTAACATGAAAGAAGCGCTTCTGACAGAATGTCAAAGGTGACTGCAGAAGAATGCAGTTGTTCTTCGTGGCTCCTCAAAGCCGGCGAAGCTCTCAAAAATGAAGGTAGCCACTTCCTGCAGACGCTGCAAGCGTCGATCAATGCGGTTGAAAGTGTACCTGGTGCGACGCAGTCTGGGGCCGTTTTAACAAGCTTCAAGACACAAAATGGATGCTACCTAAAGAATTTCATCATTGCATCAACAAGAATCAACCAAGCATGTGAAACTGAAAATTGCTGCAAACAAGTCACATGCTGCCACTGATATCCATAACAAAAGTAATCCGCTTGGGATGTTGCTGACGGCCAAAGGCAAAGCTGTCTGGTTGGCCACGTCGCATATACACAGTTTTGCAGCCAGTGATGCTGTCCTCAAAATCGTCAACATTGTCACAAGTGGGCTGCCAAGAAGAAAGCATTGACGCTTGATCGATATTGCATGCGCAAACCGCACATGCTGCAAGGCAAAATTTCTGTATAAAGACCGATGCGGTTTTCTGGGTTCTTGCCAAGTGGCCACCAAGCGGTTCTCATCCAATTCACCAGTACTCTGGTTCTTCAGCCATTGCCGCTCCCGCTCGCGAGCCTCTTGACTTTCCAAACAGACCTAGGAACGCGCAAGGCTGGAGGAACAATACAACTATAGGTAGAGGACGCTACTAGGAACAAAGGGCATCGCTACTAGGAGCAAATCCGCTACTAGGGGCTCCTGGCCTTACTGCTAGGAGCAAGAAGCTACTAGTAACAAAGGGCATCGCTACATTACAAAGGACAAAGCATGATTGCCCGTGCACGTGTCTTGTTTGAAGAAAAAGCAAGCCAAGTGCAAAAGGAGTCACCTTCATCTCTTGAATTTGAGATGCAACTGCATCTCGCAAAGCGGCATATGCTTGCCCTTCCTTCAACGACATCTTCATCTCTGCCAGCCTGACCAAGTGGGCTTGCTTGGTAACGAGATTTAAGCTTCAAAACAACCATCTAACGACAGAAGGACAAGTTTGAAGCGCTTGCTGTCCTCTTCCTGTAAGCATCATCTGCCATCCTCGGAGAGGATGCTCTCAAATGGACAAAGGTCGAACATTCAGCTGGAAATAAATTCAATGTTTATCCCCTAGGACCCAAACAGAAGCAGCGAAGCAAAAGCGGCACGAAAAGATCGAAGAAAACTCCTATAGTCCGTCTGACTCATGACCACTGTGGGTCAGCACGGAAAAAAGGACTTAAAAAAAGCATCTTTGGGCCAGGCGTCTCTTGAGCTTTGCGTTTTGTCTCCTCGTCGAGACCTTTCTTCGAATCTTCAGACACCTGGACCAGCTTCTGTCCCACATCCAGGCGATACGGACCCCAGCGTCCACCAAGTCCTGATGTTTCGGCAGGGGAAATCAGCGAAAACAGTCTAAAGACATCAGGCATCAGGGAAAACGATCTATCATATGAAATCATATGAATATATAAATATAAATATGTGTGAATCATATGAAACAAACTGCTTCACCAAATGCTGTGTCTCAGAAGCTTCCATACAAGCTTTCCTACGCTCAACTCAGAAGAACAAAGCAACCATGGGCCATGCCATGGGCCTGCTGTTCCAGTGCCACCACTTCCACCAGCAAATTGATTGCCTCCGATGTGTTCTTGGCCATCCCACTTACCATGCTTGGGCCCACCGGGTGCCATATCAGGTGGACGGGTGCCATCCGGATTCTCCTTGTTGACCACGTCCTTCGACTTGTCCCGGCCCTCATCCAATTTGAGGCTCATGTCCCCCGACGTGTAGCCATCCAAAAGACGAATGCTCTCCTACCATGCACGAATGGCCAACAAAGGCAAGAGCAGAAAGGACTTCGAGATCCTCTTGATGGACAAAGTACCACACACGGTCTCACCACAAAGTACCCCTCGAAAGGACTACTAGGAACCACACTATACCTCCTCCCTCTTCAACGTTTGGAGCTCTCAGGAATGCAGGAACAAGGATGCTTGTAGGAGGAAAAGGCATCGCAACTAGGAGCAAGGAAGCTACTAGTAGCTCCTGGCCTTACCACTAGGAGCAAGAAGCTACTAGTAACATCTAATAAGAAAGGGCATCGCTACTAGTGACAAGGGGCATAGCAAGGACGCTACGAACGTAGCTCCTGGCATTACTACTAGGAACATCTAGGAACAAGAGGACGCTCCTAGTAGCAAGGCCTTGCGGCGATGTTCAAGACTGAGTAGGAGAGCAACACCGAAAATGTGCACAGAGTGGGTGCGATGTTCTCCATGCATGTATGAAGATTCTCAAGCACCTAGGCTCCTAGACCTAGACTTGTGTTATTTCATGTTCACAAGATTTATATATATAACAAACAAGTAATAAATTATAAAGGTTGCGCAGCAAGACCTGTCCATAACACTGACAACCGCCTGTGCGGTGTTGATACTTCACAAAAGTGACATGGCGTCAAGCCTGGAAAAAGACTGGTATTCCAAGGTGTTCAAAAGGATCAAAATTCACTGACAGCCCACTGACATGATGGTCACTCAATTCCTCCAACAGTCGCGCCCTGAACTTCCCCAGCTCCTCTGTTGTCGCAATCCCATGCCGTTGCAAGACCCCCAAAAGTGGTGTCCGTTTCTTCTCGTCCGCCAGGTCAAACGCAAAGACTGTGGAGGCTAACTCCTGAAAACAGTGCACCCGGTTTGAAGCTGGCCAATCTTGAAATGAAACCCTTGGAAGGCAGACTAATCTGCGAATACTTAATGTACGTGAACTCGTAAGAAGTCCTGAACTTGTGTATTGTAAGTTGCCACTGGAACTTGCCTCAACTTCTGGTTATATAATGTTCTTCGGATAGAACTATGCACATTAAGTTCAGGTCAAACGACTTCCCCTGGATGCTCTCCACAAGCTGAATGGCTTTACTCTCAAAGCAACGATGCAACTTCTTGTTTTGATGGTATTGGTGCCAAATTGGTACATACATGTACAAAAAGAATCGAAATGACACGTACAAAGTGCTTCTGTTCCACAACATGCTGCACCCGCATCTCGATCCAAGTTGACCCACGCCTCCAAGCGATCCTTTGGAAATCGCTGGGCGTGTGACACCAGCTTGACCAACTCACGTGTGGAGTATGGATATGCCAATTGCCCGGCCTCAACCATCTCCTGAGCTCAAGAAACATCGCTCCAGTCACAAAGCACAATACTCTCAAGAAGCAGAATTGTGCTCTCACGTGCTCTCGCATGCTCACTCTCCAAACTTTATTTTGGCCTGTCAATCCCAAGGCATGAAGCTTTGCACAAACCATCACAAGCCATCAAACATATTCCCAGAACTGAGTTCAACAACTCCAGGTCGCCCTCAACTCTGCAAAGAGCACAGAGAGCTGCAGCACCTGCTCTTCTGGCACATCAGGGCCAACACTTCGAAGGAGGGCGACTTCACTTGCGATGTCCGGGTTGTCCACCACGTGGCAGCTGAACACATCGCCACAAAGCTTGAAGAAGTCGTGGCCTCGCAAAACTCAACAAAACTTGAAATAAGTCGCCAAGAACGTCTCAACACTTTCAAGACAGGTGCTTAATAATCACTTGTATGACGGCTTAACAAAGAGTCATTGTCAAAGTATCAGAAAGTATCAGAATTCTAAAGTACAAAGACTGCTTTTGAATGCTTTCAATACTTTTTGTTAAGCCGGCTTGAATCACTCAGGAACTGGCACAAGTTCCTCTGCTCTTGGTATGTTGGGTTCTTGAGGTCATGAGATTCAAAAGAGTGCCACACACAGAATAAAACTACCATAAAATGCCACACAAACTGAATGTAGTTAACTGTGGCTTCAGCGGAGCTGGTCGTGTCACCCATCACAGTTGTCTATGACATCTCATGACCCCTTATCACTCACATCTCAGCTGAGGCACCCATGAAAGGATAGCCCGGTCGATTGGCCAAGACAATGAGCCGGAAATCGCTGGACATCCTCACCACATCTCGACGGTCGATGGCACTGTCTGGTCTGACAATGGTGCGACCGTCTGACAGGCTCAACTCGCCATCTTCCGACAGTGCCTGCCGGGATCGAAAGTGGCCACTTCTTCGACTTCTTCTATGACTTGTTCTTCCCAAAAATGAAAGCTCTTCATGGCTCTTCCATATTGCCATATTGCCTGAGCCTAGGAAGCTTCTTGCCAGTAATTAGCTCAGCCCTGGCCTTCAAGACACAAACCACCTCCAGTGGTGCCTTGTCTGCTTCGTCTACCACCAAACAGCGGCCGTGTTTCACCGCACGTAGCAATGGTGAGTCTTCCCAAGTTACCACGCCAGCTTTCAAGCAGGGAGATAAGGTCAAACTTTGCACCGTAGTATCTCGATGTAATTGGACATACTCCTTTGCGGGCAGCAGACTGAGAGAAACAACAACATGATCAAGATCCTTGAAATTCCTTTAACACTCTTTAAAAGTAAACCAGGCATGCAAGCAGTTGTATTTCTCACGGCTCAGGTTGTGTGTCAAGAAAAACAAGTTAAGCGAGAAAACAAAAGCACGTCGGGACACTCGCTCGCATTGAAGCAAGCCCAGCAAGCGGTCGGTTAGCTTGTTCTTGCCGACGCCCTGGTTACCCACCAGCAGCAAGTGATGACCTTCAAGCCCAATTTACTCTCCGAAGTTCAGAGATCTTATCTTTTCATCGGCTGGACTCAGGCTGCAACCTAGAGACCAGTCCAGCAACATATCCTGACAATGCACCCAGTCAACTTCAGCGGTCCAATCTGCTATAGGGCTCCATTTGAGCAGCTTCGAAAACCCCTATTACTTTTTTGTATAATCCAGGTTTGCTTTCGCAAAGCTTTCGCGGAGCTTTCGCGGCCTGCATTCTGGCTTTCGCGGAAGGTGTGGTGTTATGTGGGGCTTTCGCGGCGGCTTTCGCGGCGATTCGTTTTCGATTGGGAAATTCGATTGGGATATTGTACAATAAAGTGATTGATCTATTTAATAAGTTATCCGATATAAGTGTCCTTAGGGTGGTCAAAACTGAACAAATTTCTTTCCGGCAACATCCTGGCACAAGGAGTTGTAGCAGCACCGTTCAAGTATTATTGTTGTCATCAGAAGAGGAGGAAAACTTGCTGACACTTTTTGCTGGGGCCAGATACCTTTCCCGGATATTTTCGACTTTCCCGGTTCTTTCGCGAGGCTTTCGCGCGGGTTTCGCGGAAATTCGTCTGGGCTTTTCGATTTTCCCCTGAAACACTTGGTCTTCAGCGCTGCTGCTGCTGCTGCTGGCTGGTGTGCTGCGGCTGGCTGGCTGGCTGGCTGGCTGGCCTGCTGCGGCTGCCTGCATAAAAATATGGTCACCCACATAAACAACACGACATGCACAAGAAATTCGACTTTCGCGAAAGCTTTCGCGACGCTGTTCTTCTGGGGTTCTTTCGCGGGGCTTTCGCAAACCTTTCGCAACCTGCGTTTTGGCTTTCGCGAAAGAATGTGAGATTACAGTTTGCACACTTTTCATCATAGAGGTTTTTGAAGCTGCTCATTTGTCTCCCGTGTCCCAGTCCTTCAGAATCTCTGTCTGCTGCGGGATGTCCACAAAGGCTACGTCAGGAACAAGCTCTGGCCTGCAAGGGCGCCCTGTCTCAGCACAGCCCAACTTATCTCACACAAGGACCTTGAGGGTGTGCGCAGTGGGCAGGAAACGTCTCCGATGCGCAGGACACCGCCGCTGATGCTGGCTGCATCAAGGGCTTTCCTCCAGACATTGGGGATGGCTTGACGATCATTCAAGGTGGCTTGCAGCGAGAGAAGAGATGTGATGGTAGTGTGCCGTTATAATTAGGTAATTCGATCGTAGTTGTGTTTCTTGCTTCTCTGCCATTCCTGCGAAGCCATTTGAAACCTTTGTCTCAAGGACTCAACTGGTGCGGCCTCGAAAAGCCCTGCTGTCCCAACTTCCTAAGCTCTCGGAGCCGATCTTCACGCTGCTTCTTCCTGCCAAGCAAGGGAATTCAGAGGTTGCACTAGTAATGCTGAGCAACTTATCTTAGACAAATCTCATTCGCGCGAAACCTTACACATCGTCGATCTTGCAAGTAGTCTAGCTCCAGTACAATATCGGTCCTGTCAGTTTCTGCCTTCTCTCGTGCCTCATCCACCATGTCTCCACCACCCATCATTCTAGCCTCTCAGGGTGCGGCCCTTACAGCACCAAAGTAAGTCCCTCTTCAAGTCAAAACATGTGGCCCTAGTCCACACACTGTGCAGCACGCCGTGTGCCAAATCGTGCCGTGCAGCCTGGATAGCCATGTATTCCAGCTCACGCAGATCCTGAAGAATGAAGAACTCTGCTCTGTAGCAAGGACGCTATGCTCGGTGGAGGCCATCACAAGTTGGTTGGAGGCCATCGCTACTAGTAACAAGAAACTACTTGGGGCCCCTGGCCTTACTAGGAGCAAGGTCCTGGCATCGCTACTAATAACAAGAAGCTATATACTGGGTTGCAGGAAAAAATATGTTCTGTGTCGTTGAAGGAACGGTGAAACCACACAGCTCCGCCGCTCCGCTCCACTCCCCACCTCGCGGCGACGCCGTGACTCGGCAGTGTCTGGGACAGAGCTGGTCCATGGCAGAGTCGGTGCGCCTGAGCTCGTTGGTCAAACATGGCGGAGCTAATGTTTTTGTTGATTTTTCTTGCTTTGTTTCTCTGCTTTCATGGTCATAGGATGTCATAGGAGTCACAGCACTACAAGCATCAAGCCAAAGCTCAGGCCCCCTTTGCCAAATAGTTCATTGAAACAAGATGGAACCCACGAACTCGAGTGCAAACACATACTCGAAAACAAACACCCAAGCAATTTTTGACACTCTTGTAGGAGACACTTTTGTGGGGCACTCTTGTAGGACACATCCTTTTCGGAAACCTTTGACGAACACTCTTGTGGGACACCTTGTATGACACTCACTCTTGTGGGATGCTCTTGCGGAACACTCTTGTAGAACACTCTTGTGGGACACTCTCGTAGGACGCTCGTGTGGGACACTCTTGTGGGACACTCTTCTGGGACACTCTTGTTGGACACTCTTGTGGGGCACTCTTGCAGGACACTCTTGTCGGACACTCTTGCGGGGCACTCTTGTGGGACACTCTTGTTTGTCACTCTTGTGAACACTCTTGTAGGACACTCTTGCGAAACAGTCTTTTAGGACACTCTTGTGGGACACTTTTGTATGTCACATTGTAGGACACTTTTGTTCCCCACATCTCTGTGTGGGGTTCTAGTTTTTTGGCTGCCATCCCGCCCGACTCCTCGTCCTCCTCGTCCTCCTCCTCGCCTCCTCTCACATCTCACACACACACACAAATCACAACCACTCACTCACTCACTCACTCAGAAGGGGCTGCGGCGCGCGTTGTCGCCGCTGGGGGCCCACTCTGTCCACAGTGGCCGGCGCAGTATCCAGAGACTGCAGAAGGGGCTGCGGCGCGCGTTGGGGGCCCGGCTCTGTCCACAGTGGCCGGCGCAGTCTGCAGAGACTGCAAAGGGGCTGCGGCTCTCTCCGCAGTGGCCGGCGCAGTGTCCAGAGACTGCAGAAGGGGCTGCGGCGCGCGTGGTCGCCGCTGGGGGCCCGGCTCTCTCCGCAGTGTCCGGCGCAGTGTCCAGAGACTGCAGAAGGGGCTGCGGCGCGCGTGGTCGCCGCTGGGCCCGGCTCTCTCCGCAGTGTCCGGCGCAGTGTCCAGAGACTGCAGAAGGGCCTGCGGCGCGCGTGGTCGCCGCTAGGGGCCCGGCTCTCTGCGCAGTGTCCAGAGTGGCCGGCGCAGTGTCAAGAGACTGCAGAAGGGGCTGCGGCGCGCGTGGTCGCCGCTGGCTGCCCGGCTCTCTCCACAGTGGCCGGCGCACTCACTCACTCACTCACTCACTCCACTCACTCACTCACTCACTCCACTCACTCACTCACTCACCCACTCACTCACTCACTCACTCACTCCACTCACTCCACTCACTCCACTCACTCCACTCACTCCA